CAGCTGTATCATGTAATGAAATTAATAGTAAATTTAACACATTACTCACTTGCGAATGGAAGGATGATTATGATTAATTGGTAAAGATATGTAAGGAATAGGTCGTGGAGGCCCAAGAATCAAACTGTGGACAAGATGAAACTGGGCGTATGTCCTGACAGCAACACGAAAAATTTCGGTTTCCATAAAGCTGCTCCTGAACACTACAGAGTCGTAACACTCTTCTTTAATTTTGTAAACTAACATACATTTAGAAGAAAAAAATTAAATTTAAGTTACATTGGGCCCATATTTTATGCCCTGCAAGAATTATTATATCTAGGATTCACCCTACTTTTAAAAAAGATATCCAAATTGCCACAATGCATAAAAATACCATTGTTAATGGCCGAGCATTTTTTTGTAACATTCGACGGGCCGTGTGTGGCTTCTTGATTGGTCTGCAGATATATACCATTTTTGCCCATAACAACTTCGATATTAATGTGTATACAAATTTAGATTTCCAATCAAAATTCTCTTGCGAGGTTAAGAAAGAACAATTTAAAAGCATCGGCATGCTCCGGGAACGACTTGTAACCATTCTCGTATTTATCAGAGTCTGTTTCCTCTACGAAAAGGAAATCGGTGGACTTCATGAAATATAGTACCTGTAGATAAGAAAACGTAACAATTGGACCGACGCTGTTGACCGCACGGCTCTAAGGCACGCTCAGTCTCACACTGCCTGCTTGGGGCAAGGATGTTTGTCCGCGTTTGTGTGTGTGAGCTGTCCTGTAAATCAAGAGGTATTACGATGGTTTAAACCATCCACAATCCAAGAAGCCACGCGGTATGTCTGAGTAGGCTTTAGTAACCTCCCTCGACCCGAATAGCGGAGAATGTGGTTCGAACCGGGCTGTAAAGCCAACAAGAAGAAAAAACTTGAAAATGTAAATTTGCAGAGGAAATAAGCAGCATTAATGTCCACTAACACTTTCGTCACTGAAAAATAACTAACAATGGTAAATACGACGTTCACCACCATATATGCATTACTTGTCTAAGCCTCAAACTGGATGATTTAAGTTAGGGACTTTGAGAATACATTTTATCCTCAGAATAACATAAACCTCACCATCGACAGAAATGCTGTCCCGTAATCTCGACTCAACATTTGGTATTATTTGTTAGTAATTAAAGTAAGCAAGCGGGGTTTCTTAGTTTAACATGCAATCACTCTGCGGTCCGTGATGTCTGCATTGCAGTTACCTCACGTATCTGCGCTGCACAGTATTATTTCAAGGGGATAACTTACATATATTCCCGGTGAAGACATCGATTTTGGTCTTCTGGATTGTAACGTCGTATGGCCTTGTAGGAAGATAACAACAATTCAGAGGGCGTCAGCGTCGTTAGTATACGGGGCGCGTTGGTATCTTTAAAAAGTTTAGACAAATGTACAGACTACTAGAAGTTACGAGAAGAATTGCACGAAGTCTCTGTTGATGACTACTTCCTCCACTTTTTCCAATGTTCTATTATTGTGGCTAATGCCCCTTTCACCTCCTCTTGATGACAGGCGATACAGAAGTTAATCATAGCTGGCAAAAGGGACGTGGAGTTCGAACCAATGTGGGGTCTGTTATTCCCCATACAGGCCAACATAATTTTGATTTTGTTACAGGCGAGACCAGAACACTAGACCCCACCCCCAGCCTTCCCTACAATTAATATCCATAATTCTGCTTAATTTAAGACCATTATGTGATGTATTTTTAGTGAGTACGAACATAATAACATCCTATTCTTCTTGCAAATCATTATATTCATATAATACCACACCTATTTGTGTTTTAATGCATTCCCTATGTTATTGCAACCTTGTTTCAGTTTCAAGTGACAAAAACAATCACAGCTGACAAGGGAATTTCTCTCAGGAACATGTCTTACATTTTTAACACAGAATATTTGTAAAAAGTCAACCCATTCGAATTACGATTTTTAGATGTTCCTCTTGTGTGAGCGAAGAACACCTTGTGGTCCCGTCAATGTCTATTTCTCTATCTGTCGCGAATTTCCTACGGAGGTAGGCAACCCGCATAGTCGTGGATCATTACAGGAACATTACTGATGCTGAACAATGGGAATAAAGACCATTGCTGGAACACGTTATTATCACAGTTATTATTACTATAATTATTTCGTATCATAACAATGCAAAAATGACCAATATGACGTGTGAAAAACACTTTCAGAATGTCAGTGTACTCTAAAGAGCACACCTTTCCAATTGTGTTCACTTTACGCGGCTGTTTCCAAAAATGGAGCTACCGTGTATATCTTAGTACATCTGAACTCCCAGTTACAAATGTTCACATTATATACCTACCCTTAGGACAGTAAGGCAGGTGAGTGGGTCAATTCCAAACATGTTGCTAGCTACGTAACTGCATCAAAATGTTAAATATTCCAGTTCGCCCCCATACACTTTTGTTCCGGCGATTCTAATATTATTTTTTTTATTTAGTGTTCTGTCTGACGACAGGTCCATATGAACAGAATCCTTCCATCCTTTTCTCGGACTGGGACCTGTTCATATACGTTCTTGGCAGATGATCCAGAAGTGGTTTGCCATTGCCTTCTTCTGTGTGTGAATGGAGTAATTGTTGGGATGCCACGGAGAAACCGGGGAAGCCCCCGGAGGAAAACTCCGTGTTGCCTAGACCACGGCCTTGCCCAACACAAGTTATAAATTCGGGCACCGCCGGGAATCGAACCCAAGACCCCAGGATTACAAGGCCAGCGTTCTAACCGCTAGACCACCGTGTCAAAATGAAACTTCTTCTATGGATTATTCACGTTAATCTCTACGATCTCCGAATTATAAGACAATGAATGAACGTGCAGAACGTATGGCAGAATTGTTTTAATGAGAGATCAGACCATGGCAATGACTTTAACGTCACAAAGCAACACATAAACAAATTATTCCCTGAGCGACAGCTACCTATGGTCGTATCGAGTGTATTTATGATAGGCGATTCACTTTTCTGATCATATTAACTGCTTTTACGGACTATGGATTTTCTTTTTCTCCGATAATTCGTTTATTAATTTGTCGCCAGCTCTAGCCTCACTTTTAAGTGTAACACTGTTGCGCAACAGAGTTAGATGAAGGTATACCAAGCAGTGGCGGCTTGTCGACGCTGGTGACCACACCAACAATGATTTTAAATTAAAGTTGCAAACCAAAAATAAAAATTAGTGGACAAGTATGTTTTAAGACCTTCAATATATTTAAACTATCCATCGATTAACTACAACGAACCGCTATCGGTATAATATCTTATCACGTAACAAATTAATTAAGAAGATTCAAAATGTTAAATGTTACGTTCACAGAAATATATGTTTAGTCTAATAGGAGTTGAGCCTGAGGGCAGTATTATGAATCGGAAAGCTTCTCTACTCGATTTTGAAAATGTTATCCTAGAAAGAATATTTACTCCTGTTTCCACAAATATTTAATTCTTCCTTTCAGTCTCAGTGCTCCCAAAATGTTCTAAAACCAAACAGGCCTATAACACCTCAAATATTCAGCCTCTTCGGTTCTGTATTTGTTCTCCACAGGGGGCTTATGCTACTGGTTCAAAACTACTGATAGAACAGAAATAATTATCGTGAAAAGTTGGATTTAAACGTGTAAGAAAGGCTTAATTTTCCAATTAAATGTCCCTATGCTAATGACAACCGACACTATAAAATAAAATATGAGGCCGAGTTCTGCTGGATATAAGAAAATACGTAGTGTCCACTTGAAAGTAGCCCACTTTGTGGAAAGATTGTTAACACACAGTACCAGTTCACAATAAATCCTTTGAAGAGAATTTAGACATGGGTAATACAAGTGACTGGTGATAACAACAACAACAACAACAACAACAACAACAACAAGGCTGTGTCGCTCGTCATACGTCACTTCACTTGACATTTATGGGGAAAGTTCGTCTGTTGATATTCTGCCTAGGACATAAGAGATTAAAACATAACGAGACTATCGGCAAATTTGGAACTACGCAATAATAAGAATTTTGGCACGTTCGTAAAAATTTGGCCATTGACCCCTGCGAACGGCTCCAGTGGCAGCTTTCTTTTCTGAAACCAGTAATAAATGGGGAAGCGTCTGGATGGTGATGATATTATGAAGGTTTCCCCAACGTAATCATGGTAACTCATCTGTAATAGGAGCAATATAGACCCGCAAAAGCAGATTTAAGGGAGGAGAGGGGAATTCGCACGCTCTACAGAAACTTTATGTTGATTTACTTCAGGCCTAAAGATTCACTTAGTTGTTCCTCCGAAACGATAGTACCTGCCTACAAATCCATACGGGGTTACAACCCAGAAGAAAAGCATCAACATCTCAAAACCGCCTAAGTTGTGATGATATTTCTTCTACAGTTTACTGACACCTAGAACGGTCTACTGGTAGACTAACTCCATACAGCCGGCAGCAGGGGATTCGACATCTGGTAACCAGTCCATCAGTAAACACGTCTGCAGATAAGGGTCAAATATCCATGCTTTAATCCGCTGCCTTAGAAAGTGTATGGCTTCTATAACTAAAACACTGAATTCATTTTTTTAAAAAAACCCACTATCTTCATGTTTAAAACCGCAAAGAACTAACAGAGTTAACTTTATAGGTTATAAAATTATGTTCGAATCCGGACACAAAAGAAAGGCAACACTATTCCCCAATATACCTACTACATTAAAACAGTACCATCACAATTTCCGCAAACACATTTACGACGTCCCTAACAGAAACCCCCCCCCCCAACAAATTATAATTCAGATTGATGTAGGAAATCACAACTATTAAGATTCTGTAGCGTTTCACCGCTGAATGATTGCTTGGCAACCTATATCTAGATGAAACCCACAACTTATAATCATGTCATTACTTCAGTATATACTACATTCCAAAGCCAGACGTAAACATGCATAAAACTCACCGATGAAGACTAACTGGTGCGAAAGGATCAGCAAAACTACCATAACGCCAGCAGAGCGATGAGGTCTCATTTTTATTAAGTTAACCGACGTTTGTACTATTAGAATCCCATTTTAATGCAATTTCATGCTTCGACAAACCACCACGTGCCTCAACGGAATATGCTCCACGTTTCCACAGACGTCTTTCGTCCACTGAAGACCCACGCGTACTGGTAGAACTATTCAAATTTGATATCAGCTCTGCAGGCGCGCCACTACTTTGCCCCGTAGTTCTTTAAATATCGTGTAGATGGCAATGCTCCATTATATTCCTATGGCAGGAAATCATGCGCACTCATACACAAACATGATTTTTCCCTTTTGGAAGAATATTAAATACTACGCAACTTGGCTTGACCCTCAAGCGTCAAATAAATTTCACCCAACTTCCAAAAACTGTCCAATTAAACACTGCAAAACAAAGTTTTAACCCACACCATCATACATTGCAGTGCTGTAATATATATAAAAACCTTTCACCCTATTCTCTGCGGTGCATAACATTCTTTGGCCAATCGACCGCTTTCTGGTCTTGTTCTTTCACCTTACACCACCAACAAACATCCCAGGTGTTCAAATTACTTGCCCGCCTCCTGTAAATAACGTTACTTCCATAATGCAAAGGAAAAAATGTTGCTCAATATATTTCATAAACTCTTTACACTGAAGCTTAGACCAGTACAAGAGTATAAATTATGCTGTTATTCTAATCATTACAATATAAAACTATAAGGCTGGTAAGCAATAGCACTGCACAGATACTACTCCTGATATATGAAGCCCATCCTTTTGAACATGGTAGTTGAGCTGCAGTCAATAACACCTTACTTTATTAAACAGAACACTGAAAATTCCAGTAGCCCACATGACTAAATTCTTTATTCAATTCTTGTTGATACAAGGAAAACAATTATATCACTGCTCACTGGAAGCAAAAGTGTGTGGCCATTCCCCAAATCAAATTGTGCAAGAAAAATCCAAGTTTATGCTACAAATTTCCATAATTTCAAGGCCAATGTTATTTACAAATAAAATAAAACACACGTGTCCAGGCAGGATCAACACTTGTATGCAACTTTTTTTGTTTATAACAGGCATACCATGAAGTGGTGTAACAAAATGGACACAAAAAAGAGCAATGGCCCGTTCAGTCCATAACACAACGAAGAGCATGAGATTTTCTGTTCCAAAGGATCTTCTTCTCGTCCCTTTCCCACTAACATTTTTCTAACTTCCCTGCAACAACATCCAGGCAACACAAACACAAAAGTAAAGCCCCCAAAAAAGCAACTTTTGTAAATCACAATACAGAAACAAAAGAAATGTCACAAGACGAAAGATTCAAAATCAATGCGGACAACAAAGTTTAATTCAAATACCATAACACAATCTCCAGACCTCTTCAACAATCACTAGCTAAAGCTTTGCAAAATGTGATGTTCACATTTATCATGGTGTACACAGCTTACTACAGACATAAATGTTTCCCCAACTTTTCAACCCATGGCGTAGAGCACAAGGCAACACAAATTCAAACTTATTTCTCCCACACACTTATATGCAGAGTAGATTAAGTAAAACTTTAAATATATGAACAGTCTAATCCAAACATGAAATTCAATCACTGCAAAACTGTATGAAACTAGTGTAACGAGGTTTTGGCATCTCCTTCAAACCTGTATACATAAAACCTTATGCAAGCTCAATGAAATGAAGGCCAACCCTACACTTTATTAATTAGTTTCATCACTTACTTGGTTAAGAGTAGATGTAGTAAAACAGGAACAGCATCTTCTGCATGGACAGGATTCTCAAAACCTATTTGCCCAGCCCAAACTTAACACATGGAGACACCAACAGAAGAGAATAATATCACCGTTTGAGCCTTCAATTACATTAAGTAGTGTTCATAGCAACAATCTTAAAATTGACTGACAGCATATTTCATTAATTTTTCAGTGTGGCAGTAATATAATGAGTCGAACACCAAACAAGTATTTATCAAAATTTGGTAAAATTTTCAAAGTAAAATGATATAAAATCTCAATTCTCCACAATTACAATGGCTAGTCACATATTTAAAAAGGCCCAAATAAGTTGCTTATGCTGAACCAGCAGCAACTCAACATTTGATACAATGGGATACAATTAAATTTGTGACCAACAAGCAAAGTATCATAATACACACGGCACAAAATATACATCCAACCTCAAATTGCAATGAACAGGAAACTAAAAACCATAGAAATTTTCTAAAAACCTAAGACACTATTCAGACACTTCAAGGGTGATCAAACATGAAAGCAAGAGTTGACTGTTGTTCTGTTTCAATCATTTCTTAGTTTCTATGTGAACATAATGAGAACACATTTCACCAAAAGGAGACTTTGCAAGTAAAAACAAAATAGACATACATATATAACACCATAGATTCTGAACTCAGACAGTAACAAATAGAAATCAAGTGTGCATTTTAATAACACTGCACTATCCAACTGAGACAACTTTAATAATGGAGACATGAGAAATTCAACCATGACTGGCATTCCATTCAATAAAGTATAAAAATACACGCTGAAAACAAACATGGTGTTTCTCTGCTTCCGAACCACTGGTGTATCCAAGACGTTGCACTACAGAAGTAAAAAACCAGTTTTGAAACCATATACAAAATCCAAAACCCTCACTTGCGAATCTGAATGAAACTCAAAAGCTTACCCAACCATGTGGGAGACAAATTTAAAAAATTGATAAATACTTTGGTTTCTAAAAACTATCTTCACCCTGCAAAGCTAACCTCAAACAGAATTATTTGAGTTTCATTCTACATATAAGGCAATAAACCCCAAATACAAAACAACCTTCAAATGCCTATAATATAACAGCTTCACCAGAACATCTCCCACAAAATGCCTTTCAGCTCACAGAATGCAACCAAGATGAGGCAGCAGATGATAAATAAACAACAAGTCAATGTCACTGTAGTTCTTGATGGGACAGATTTATATAATAGAAATGTACTTACCACAAAGCATTGATCTGGCTCATTAGTGGCTCATTTTCTGACAAGATCAAATATTACTCAAATTGCAACAGGAACATATTACTGCAATTTTGTTCTGATATTATATTGAGGAATTCAGAGGCTCTGATGCACAGGTTTCTTCAAGTAGACATTGCAAAGACCTTCAAGAATATGATTCAATTTGATAAGTCAACAAACATCATCAGTGTTTGGTGCAATCCTAGATCAAGTATGAAACTCATCACAACACGCCAGGCTCTTCTTATGCAACATATGTTTGCAGCTATTTATTAAAAGAAACATGTTCCATCTGCACAAATTTTGTTTCTTGGAAAATACACTTGAGGTAATTCAAAGTGGATGCCCTAGACACCCAGATCTTCCCTTCTGAACCTTCTCATATAAAAAATTGTTAATTTGCACAATTTAGTACGATGCTTAGAATTGCAGAACACGTTAACTTGGTTTCATAGGTTCACAGGAGATTTACAAAGTAAAGATGAAGTTCTAGCCCATGTCTGAATCATACATATAGCACAGGGAGAAACTCAATGCACTGCTAACCTGAGCACCGTAAGGAAGTAAGTGGTCAGTATCATACTTCAGTTGTCTTTATCCCCAGGAATGGGTACTGAATATGATATGCTTAAACCAAATCTGAATTACATCAGAAAACATTTGTAATGAGCAACAAACCAATAGATTTTACCCACAACACTTGCACAGATGATAAAATAGAATATGACATGAATAAATAAACTGCATAGTGACATTGTATTATTATGTAGTTTTTTTAAGCTGTCTGCATGTATCAAAGAATGCTGATTCTTCAATATAAAGCAATTCATACAACCATCACATAATGCAAGCAAATGGACTAATCAAGTATATATAAATTTGTCCCACAATCAACATGATTCACTGATTTTCTCTCAGAAACAAGGAACAAACACTGTAAAAGTACCATGGTTCTATAGCAAACACACAATGTAAATAAGCAAAAGTGGGAATTTCTTGGAGCCAGTCATGGAAATCTCTCTGCAAGACAATGTTGAGTAAGTTTCATCCCAAACTGAAGTATAATTTAATTCCAAACAAGACTACTTCATCGGGAAACAAGATCTGTAATATGAGAGGTTAACAAATGCTCATCTGCGATCATTAGTTCATAGAAGGTTAAAATTTGAATGTACTATTTTCCTAATATAGATGCTGATACACCCACTCATCATAGTAAAATTACTTTCCTTTGTAGAAAAATCTCAAATCTACTGCCACTTTTCCTTACCTGTCCTCCCAGAACATTTTTTGTACAAGTATGAATCTATATTAAAAACTGTTCATTTTACTGTTGTTCCAATGCACTGAAATTCAAAGAGAATTACATTCCTTCTATGAATACAGAAACAATTTTGAACATTGCATCAATATCTTATCATGTTTTAACCATTATAATTCACAATAAACTCTGAGGAAATACAGACTTGAGTTCTGAATATAATTCATATAGCAGTGTATGATAAAGACTGTTGCCTACCGTAACGTTACAGAATGGCATGAGTGAAAATAACTTCTGGTTAAAATAATCTCTCCCCTTGACACGACACATGCAAATTGCACAATTTCATTTACAACTACATACTTAAATCCCAAGTGGGTAAAATGGAAATTCTGCACAGCAAAACAGTATTTCTTTCTCTTCCCTTCACACAGGTATAAATATACCTGAACGCACACATGCACCAAGTGTGTGGACTGTCATGCATTCTTTGCACAAAATAAAAGTAATATGTATTATGAGATTGTGTCCATTACATCTCTGAAATACTTATCATATGTTTATGAAGTCTGATACTGAAGGTTTTCAGTAAGTGAAGTAAATATTAGTTCCTCCTATCAGGCAAACACAAAACCTGCTTTACACGAAAATAAAATGAAACTGTGCCTTCTCAGAAACGCCCTACCCTACAAAAATACATAATGTAAAATACAGAGCTCATTAGGAACTAAAACTTTTAATAAATAGAAAACCGTCAAAATGGTGAATAATGGAATAGAAGCAAACATAATGTGTCTCTAGGCAGTGTGAATAGTTTCTCCACAGTCCATTTGTATCTGTCAAAAATACCATGAGCATTCATTTGTTTTCTGCTTGTTAGAAAAGAAAATATATATCCGAATACCAAATAGTATAACTAAAGTTCTTGAGGGAAAATTACTGAAGATAATTTGATTCAACATACAGCTGTTCCATAAGCTTGGATCCATATATTTATTTGGCAAAATATGGAGAAATGAAAAGATGTCAGATTTGTTGTAAATCATGTGTTTACAATTTCAAGTGTTTGAATTTTTTATCTATGATAAATTATGGCGCTACACTCTTTACAACAATAGTAAACAAAATGTTATGGTGATGTTGTGACATTGACATGCCACCAAAAGAAGAAACATCAATGAAGGAAATATAGGTATTACAGGATACAAAAACCAAACAAAATCAGGAAAACAATAATGACTAGCAAATTGCCACATCAATGAGGCAACATAACCATAACTAATTATTGATGATGTAAAGAGTGTAGCATCATAATAGCTCATCCAAGGTGAATATTCCAACACTTCAGACTGGAACCACATAGGCTGCAAATTTTTCTCACTTTAATTTTTTCATATTTTGCCAAAATAACAGTTCAACGGCATCAGACTTACAGGACAATGCACATATATTATACTCAGCAAAGAATTAAATGCCGCACTGTATGACGACATAACTACAAAATAAAGATCCCTGAAGTAAAGGAGAAATCAGTGACATTACACATTTAACAATACAAAGAAATGCAAGTGAACTGTCCTGCTACAAGAACTCTGTCAGTAATAAATTAATATAAAGGCCAGTCAAGGTATGCAACATTTCAAAGAATGTATATGGAAAATGTATGTACTCCAAGATAAAGTACAACTGTCCACTAGTCTTATCATCAGACTGGCATTTGTTATTTCTCCATACAAGCCTCTGGGACAGGAATGAAATGAAGTATAAGCTCATTTCCCATCCATTCCACCCCCTTCTACAACACATACTTTTAATTATCCATGTGTGTCACAGGCTGCTTAAAAGCTTTGGGTACTAACATTTACATAAGCCTTTTAGTTAGAAAGGCTGAAAAAAATTACATGCACAAGACATTCATACATTTTTAATTCTAAAAAAATTAAGAATAAAGGTTACACATTGTTTAGATAAAATTAATAATAATGTGAATGCATGTGTGATAAGTTCATGAACACCTTTAGTTTGTCTAGTCATGTAGTAATAAGGTACTCTTTATATACTATCCTACCTATTTGCACCAACTATTAATACATTATCAGTGACCAAATGAGCTACAAACAGCATTAAAATTTTGGACTGCTTCTGTGCTCTTGGTACATAACTTTTGCATGCCACACCTGTTTTATAGCCCAACTACCTAATGACTGTGAAAACAATGTAATTAAACTTTCTGATGATGTTCAGAGCAATATTCCATAAAACTTTACTCTGATAGTCATAAAATAACCACAATTTCACAATCCTAAAATTGGGAAATATAGAGACATGAATCAAAATTATTATGCCAAATATAATTTCAAATGCATATTCTTATTATGCAAGCTTACTTACTCCTGTCTGTAACAGATGTGGCTTCCAATGCTTAACACTTCATTTTCCAGGCCTGAATTACACTAGTGCTCTCACAGATTCAAGTGCTGGTGCAAATCTGTAAGTGCCCACCACTCACAATTTAACCGCATCTGAACTGTCCATAAGGTATACATGACAGATAATTCAATACATATTTAAAAATCATAAACAGAAGTCACAGAAATTCTTAATATAAGAAAATAAGAAAGATAATCAAAAACAAAATATGTTTTGCTGTTTGTTGCAACTTCATCATTGGCCCAGTTATGATTGTGAGTAGTGGGAAAGATAACTGGATCATTAGCTTTGGGCTGTACAACTAAGAATTACCTGATGTTTTAAAAAGATGGACTGTTATTTCATTTTTCCTCTCTGCATGGGTTTGTCCTTCAATGGAATATTGCTGCCATCTCAGATAAATGCCCTCTCCATTTCAAGTTCCAGACTGACCACCAATTGTACAACTCCAGCCATGATGCTACTTCCAGCGCCTCTCAGTCGCATGATTATCACACACTACGGAACTGCTAGGGTCAACTTGACACCTCCCGCAAAAGTAACTACCCTTTTCCTCAATAACACTCACATACATACAAACAGTAGCATGTGGAGGACACAAAAAATAGTACAGCAATTCTAACAGCTAAACATTACTAACTTGATTAATTATAAACTGCAAGTTTCACTTGATCATATAGCCACACTTCCCCCTGCAGTGCATAAAGTAACCAACAAAAATTAAACATTTTTATTAAGAACCAGACCATGTAAAAAATCAAAACTAAACAATATAGGGACATAGTTTCATATCTTAACCTATCATTACATACAGTGAAACACATGAATTAAAGTCATTACATACTTATGGATAGGGGAAGCAAATATGGCAGACGGTAGCAGCATTTATAATGAAATACACTTGCACTCCTAATAGTTTCTATCATCTTCACTTCAACAAAGAAATTAAGAGACAAAATATGAGACATGCAAGGAGACAAATAAGAGTTATTCCATTTCCGCAAATTGTCCAAATTTAACTCACTTAGCCCTCAAATATTCTCTAACATTACACAATACACGTAAAATCTGTGGATGTTCATATTTGCGCTAAACTGGATAGGGGGCATTTCACATTTTGTGTTTTGGTCAACCAACCACAGTGAAGATGAAATTATCTGAAAGGAAATGCAAAACACACAACATATATGTAAAATTCCTATCATGTACACTTGATTGTTCTGAAAATGAAGAAAGTTCATTAGTAGAAAAATGTTCAGTGTATTTTATACTGGGTGAAGCTAAAGACTGAAACAGGATGATGATCCTACTTCATAATGGATGATTTCAACATACAAGTTTTATAACTTTCAACACTGTAGCAGAAATAAATTAGTATGCCCACTGCAAAAATACAAACACTATGCATAAGATATACATACTATGTAGAGCATACAAAAAAATGTGCTATAAATAATATGTAAGCAACTCGGTCTTCACAGAACTAGTAAATTAAATTCTTCACTCAGCTGCACACATATGCAAACATATTATAAGTATGTTCTTATGAACAGAACCTCCTCATTACAATTATTATTAATACTATTATTAAATTCAACCATCCATTACAAATAGAACCATCTCTCGAACCTACCTGTTCACCAATCCCATACTCACCAACTTGATCGTTGCTCCTAATACAGATTAGGGAGCCAAGCAAATCACCTGGTGATTTGTTCTAGTGCATTTCCAAGAGAGTGATGGTGTAAGTTTGAATGTCCCCACATACCCAACTCGACCAACCTTGGCTTGCTAGATTTTCTGGAGCAGGGGACACAGCAAGCATACAAGAACACAATGGAGGAAACTGTATCGCTAGGGAGGTACAAGTAACATCTGAGCAATATGGATGTGCAAGTAAATGTGGTATGCATGTACATAAGTCATGTAGATAAAAGGGAAACTGAATATGAACCTTCATTCTGAAAGACAGTATTTCACTAAAGCTAGATATTATCTGTAATTACTTTACACAGTTCTCAATTTTGTGTTTGAAAAGATATAAATGCAAAAATAAAACCCCGATGTCCACTTACGCAAATACATAGCCAAGTGTGCTACCCATGAATGTCAAATTTCCAATGCCTGAATCACAAAATACTTTTACTACATAGCCTGCATAACTTCAGCACTCCAAAATTGGCATAAGCACATTTATAATCACAAGACAAACAAATGAAGTGAAATGAAATAACCTTGTGTTTTACCTGCAAAAATGAAGAATAATGTTATATTCTGTAGAAATTTGTTGCAAAAGGCATAAATCAAAGTTTCTTAAATAATGCATACATATGAGGAAAGTCATTGAAAACTAACACAATATAAAACTAGTTCATAATTTAACTGCACATTTCTATGCCCTGAAAACAATAGTGCTCCAAACTGGGCCCAGTAGCAGTATTCATGGGGCAAACAGTTTTTAAAAAAAGCCTCATATGATGCCATTAACTATTCTCATACTGAGACAAATATAATGATCATGTTTTGGAGAATGCGTACTGCCTCTATCATCAGAGTGATTAATAACCCTTGCACAAAGAGGTGGGTTGATGATAAAGGAGCAGTCAGATAAGGCAGAAGCTTGGCAAGACCAACAAATGATAAGGGAGGGGGCCAATGTTTTCCCACTTTATTTTCAATTCCTCTGTTTTCTGCAATCTTCACTGCTGGTCCCCTACCAAACCAGATAAAAAACTATTTCATCCATTCCTCTCATATTGGGCTTTTATTAGTATTCCCTGGCATCCATTTATTTAGTTTTATATCACTTTACTATTTACCCTAGAGTTTACCTTCTTTCCATCCTTTCACATCATCTTCCTCTTTCCCAATTATTTTACTTTACATTTCACTTCACTTCTTCAGTGACCTTCACTACTGGTTCCCTCTCAACCTTGACAAGGGTCATTTCTTCCCTTCCTAAAACATAAGACCTTATTTGTGCCCCCCCCCCCAACCATATGAATTTATTTAGTTGTACATCATATTACTGTCTACTTCTCCTTCCTCCCATTTTAATCTGTTTTCTGCAATCTTCACTGCTGGTTACAGTGGTCCTGACAGGGCTAAATTTATTCACTTCCTTGCATATTGGACCTACACCTGTCTTCTCCCAGTATTCAGTTTTTAGATGTATAATACTTATTTCTATTTGTTCCGTAGTTCCCTTCTATTTTATTTCCTTAACTTTGTTCTTTCCTACACTCATTCCACGTCCCTCCTCAGTCAGGCTGTGATCGCCCAATTAATTTACAATCTCCCTTGCTTTGACTGTCCTCATCACAATCTTTCCCCCCCCCCTCCTCAACCCTCTGGTCCATTCAAGCTTCTCTGTCCAACCTGCTCCTGTAACTTAAACCAATTTTGCATGTAACAATTACACATCACCCTAATTATAGAGCCAGTGACCATATCTGATATGCCAAATCTCTACCATGCTACATGGTGCAACATCCCATAAGACACTGATCTTCATACCTTAAATTTCATAAATGTAATATCATGCAAGGCCACAAAAATGTCTTTAGTAATTCTTTTAGTAATAGTGAATTAAAAATTACAAGTAAATAAAATGTCTAAAAAGTGACTTTCAGCAATGTTGAATTTATATACAGAAGTACAACACATGAATATGGGGGCAAATTCAGGTTGCAATGAAACCTGAAAGATGAAAATATATAAAATGAAGCAAGATAAACCAAACCCCTAGTGTGCTCTAAATGTGTTTTTAGAAAGTGTTCCCTGACACACCTCACCACCTCCTGTACCTCATGAACATAACTGCAATTTTGGTGGGTTAGGACAAAACACCCCCCCCCCCCAACAGCAAGACAAAAAATAAACCTGGCCAGCTTAAAAGTAAATTCTACACATCTACCTGACTGTCAACCTCATTTTAAAACAGGCTTATAATATCTAGGCACAAAGAAAAATAAATAGTACTTGTCAAAATAATTAAACAAATGTAATCATTCCCTCACAAAGTTTCATAATTCATTATCAAGGGGAGATGTGCCTATAAAGAACAATATCTTGGTACAAACAAAAAAAAAACCACTATTTCTTCCATTTGTGGAGCAAACCCAGCCATTAGTCAGTGCTGTGTTGGAGACAATCTCAAATAAAAAAGAAAAGGAAGAACAAAACATATAAGATTGTGAAATGGTTGAAAAGAACAAAACTTGAGGACACTGGGGGTATTTCAGTTATAACAGCGGAAGTGAATTTTAAAAATTTTGCAAGTGATGAAGTTATAAGACTACCACTTATTAAGAAATGGCAAAGCAGTTCAAATGTATAAAAATAATATCCACTTGACAAGACAAAGCCACAAAATAAAATACTTAAGACAATTTTAGACAATTCAAAACCATATACAGTACCATGGAAGTCCAATTCTATACAAAAATTATTATAAAAAAGCATGAAATGAAAACTATGTAGCAAGAATGAGAATTTCAGAATGTTTCCATATCTGTACACACGTTTTACATTTTAAATTAGGATCCTTCAATGAATTCACATCACATTTCTCTAGGAATGGTCTAAACATATTACAATGCAGTAGATTTAATGTAAATCAGCAGCCCCATTATTTATTGCAAAAAAACTAAAATCCATGTTTCAGTAAAATGTTCAAAATTAGTTGATCCTGAATCCCTCTGACCCTTGGTGAATTTATGTCAAGCATGCAAAATAAACATGTAGCAAATATATTTTATTGGTTCTAGTTACTTAAGGACCTTGGCCTCCTTACATATGGGAGGTTTCTTAATCTATTTACACATCTGGTAGGACTCCTTGGACGAGCGATCAGCCTGTTACAAGGCATCTACCTATACAGGACAGCACAATACAGAAAGCTGCAGACAAACATCCACTGAACCCACAGTCCCTATGTCCAATAAAGACCCACGCCCCACAACACATGGCCACTGATTGGCTTAGCAAACATCTACTGGAAGGTGAAGTAAGAAGCATTCACTGAGGTTCATTTAATGATGATGTCAGTAGTTCAGACTATAGAGCATCAAACAGGACTGATGCTTAATGGATTTGAAATAACATGATAGGAAGCTGTTATGGGAATACACGATGCAAACCACTACACAACAGGGCTGCCAACCAGACTTTTAACTGCAGGGTTAATGGTTTAGTGGTATGTTACTACAACCCACAGCCAGCTGGACTGAATGAGACAGTTGATAAAAGTAAAGGTACTATTCCAAAATTTGTCTGGACAGATTGAGGAAATTCAAATAAAAAGTTCTCTGGATGTTTTCCATCGTCTAATAAAATCATAAAATTACATGACTCTATCTCCATCTTCAGGTAGACCTACTCAGTTAGGCCCAGTCGATAGAGCTAATCCCTATCATTTCTCGTTGCTTTACATTAGAATCATGTTTCTAGCTTTTTTTATTATAAGCCAACTTGTTTAATAAAAACTTCCTTATACAAAATTTTATGGGGAAAACATGAAGTGAAGAGTCCACTTGGAAGACCTAGGCATTGGTGGAAGCATAACATTAAAATTAAATAAACAGGAAAAGAGAATGAAGACTAAATCTGACTCAGGATAGGGATCGCTGGCAGGATCTTTAGAACACAATAATGGAATCTGTGGTTCCATAAAAGACAGGCAATTTCTTGTGTGACTTAGTTTTCAAGACTCTGCTCCTTAGTCACAGACTGTGACATTAGCATTCAAATCTACTTCCTCCCATAAAAAAACTAAATGAGGGTTTCACATAGTACCCATCAAACAATTCAAATTACAAATCAAATACACACCACTCAATTACATGTGGTTACAGATCTAAGTTCAAATCAGATTAACTGAAGAAAACACTAAAGGAGCGAATACACTTGTATTTAAGTGACAACACAATCACATTAGTAAAACAGTAACTGCAATTACTAAGTAGAAAACCAATTTTATGGGCACTGATTATGGACAGCTCATCCACCAGGACCAGTAGATTTCTGCTGAAAATCATCAAACAAGGCACTTGACACAACTCCACAGAAATATATTGCAAAGTTCAATACTTCTGTCCATGCAACATAATTACCCATGTCAGAGCAAAGCAAGTATGCAACCATGTGACAACTAGTATGCAATCCTGTGTAAAAAGTATAAAACAATAACATACGCAGCTTCAGTTTTCTGCAACAAATGCACCCGCTCACAAAGGATGACTGATCACAACCCAACCCACAAACTGCAACATCTAAGACTTACAGACATGACCACCCAGATACTCAAAGTATAACCTACTGAGAGGTCATGCACTTTGTATGACACAACACTGTATATGGCAGACATGGGAAAATACATTTGGGTTTTTAGCAACTTTTCTACAGTATTTAGCTTCGGATGAACACATTTTACATACTAAAGTGTGGACAAAACAATTACCTACAGACAGCATAACCTTGTTCATAAACACCCCATTCTTGTTTAAAAGATTTTCAGCGCTAAGAACATGAAAATCACATGAAGAATACAATGCAGGATATATAAGTGTAACCATGTAAAGTAAAAAGTATTCAAAACAGAAGCTCAACAGAACCAATTCAAAGTATACAGATAGTTTGACATAAAGCATATTATGCATCAAATAAGAATTCTTTAAATAGAACACAGCAAGATTCATTTTCTAGTGTTAAGATAAATAAAGGTATCCCTGTGCTTAAATGTGATGCCATAATTATGCTCAATTAAGCACACCACCATAAAATCATTTGATAGAATCAAAATGTAGCTACACACATTCTAAGCCTTGGCGCTAAATGGAGACAAGCAATCAGCTTCATAGACTGGCTGCTTGAACACCAGGAAAAATGCCTGATGTACCTATGGGATAGGATACCGGGGTCAACTGGAAGAAAGTCAGGACACTGCGGGGGGAAAAAAGAAAAATCCCTGATCCTGCTGCCCCAGCCATCCAGCACATAGCCAGTCACTTTTCTGATTGAGTTAACCCAGATCCTTATTTCCAACATATATCACTGGGACCTTGAGAATAAAACATGTTCAAATGAAGGAATTGTACATTGTTCATAAAACTGGAGTTCCACTAATTGCAGAAATGACAACTGTACATCTACATTAAAATAAAACACCTACTCATCAAGCCAATGACACTGCTTCCACCACCAAACACATTTCTTAAGGTAGGGTTAACCTACCCAACACCATCCTTCAACTTCTCTACTCTACAATTATACAGCTATAGCTCTGTGAAGCTTTGTTACTTACGACTACTATCCTCCTCTTCTCTGTTCAACAGATTGGCCATTCACTGATTATCTGGTCCACCGGGCTGCCCCCCATATCCACCATAGCTTGGGTAATTATATGGCTGTTGCTGTCCTGGCTGCTGAGGGGGTTGTGGACCACCTACAAAAGTAAAAAAAAAAAAAAAAAAAAAAAAAGTGATTAAAACAAAAGTGTTTCAAAATGTGAAATGTACATTCATTCAATATGCAGCCATCAGTTGATGCTAATTTGTAGTCAACTAGAAGTACAGCAACAAATTCAGAGGATATTTTATATGTCTAAAGTTCATAATTTTAAACTAAGATTATAACCAAATCAAATAGGAAATGGACAAGATGTTGAGGGAATAGGGCTGCAGATGATAACATTAATTATCACCTGTGAAGAACCCCCAATATTATTTTATGCCCAGTAGAAACCAGGAAGCCTATGTATTATCAGCCTCTAGCAAGCACCAGGCACACAATCTCATTCATAAATTCTCAATTTCGGTAAGTGAATTCAGATCCCACAAATCCTCTTTCAGTATACATACTTTCAATACAAGCTGTTAAATTCCATATATGCAGGAGAAAAAAATTCAGGCCTGTATTCCGCACCAATGGTTTCTGTTAGTACCTGTACTCCAATTTAATTTCCACATGCAAGTCATCCTTACAAGCACCACCTGGCTATGATGTAAACAACTGTACTGGCCACATAATACTCTAAGAACTCCAAAGATGCCTTTAAGTTTTAAATACATAATAACATATTTCAGAATACACAAGTTCCACACAAATACAGGACACATCTGTATTTCAGGAAATGAATATGGAACTGCACCAGTACTGAAGAAAAAACCCTGTGCATCCTGATATTTCAGTCTGTACCAAGGTCACTTTTGCAACAGTGCTCCATCACCATCATGGTTCAACATATACAAAAATGTCTGTATTTGTATTAAAGTTCAACTGACTGGGCTGATTTAAAAAATGTCATGCCTTTCCTACTGCACACAGAAGAGAAACAACTATGGCAGCACAGTGTGACAACATTCACTAGTTGAACATTTCCATCAACAGGTGAAACCAACATTCCCCCAAAAGCTTAGAATATGCAGTATTTTTAATCTGTTTTGCATAATTTAAGCAGAGGTTCAGGAAAACAGACACTTAGTCAACTTCTTCCTCATAAACCGAAAAAAAAAATGTTGACATCAGAGGACAGTCCATCTAGCACCAAATATGACTATAAGGGGTTAAAGAAATGGCACACTACTGCATCTATGGAGACATACCAACAGTATTATGGAATCCCTCTGGCTAGGTTATGCAAGTTAAACAACACCAGTAGCCCAGGGCAAACCACAGAATCAAATAAAGCCACATAGGATGAAAGTTCTGACACAGATAAGAATAGTTCTTAAAAGACTATGGAGTACAGAATATTAAATCCATCCTTACTTAGACCAACACTGACATCTTCACAGTAGTGAGAACCTCAAATCTCATAAAAGTTTTAGAATTTTACTACTACATAATCCGTTGTACCTGGGGCTCCTCCGTAGTAGCCAGCAGCAGCAGCTGCTTGGTAGCCATATGGCTGTCCATATGGTGGTTGCTGCTGCTGCGGTGTTCCTTGCCCTGGCTGCTGTGGTGCTCCACCAGGCTGCTGTTGCTGCTGCTGTGGCTGCTGTTGGGGTCCACCTGGAGCCCCTCCACCAGGCTGACCAGGCTAAAATAAGAAGCAGTATTAAGCTTATCAAACTAGTTGCATGTATTAACATTTCCCACATCAATACTTACACTCTGCAATCACTAATATGTCAAACCTTTAAGGGTAACTATCATGAACCATGACTTACATATAATGTACCAATATAGAAAAGTGTTCAACTAAACTTCTATATAAGATTTGAGGTTTTCACAGCGGTGAGTATGAAGATTTCCGTCTTCTGGGTTGTTGTGCTGTGTAGTCTGGTCGATGTTAACCACTACACAGCGCAACAACCCAGAAGACAGAAATCTTTAAACTGCTATACTAAAGATAATTATTGTATACAAACAAATCAGCTGTCTCATGAAAAAATGTGAGATAATTATCAGCCTTTATAGAATAATTCTCAACCCTCTTTGAAATCTCTTGTGTCTTGAATGGTAGATGAAATGCCCATAAAATATGGTGGAGTGGACCTAACACTGAATATGGACCTAAATACCAACAGGAAGCATCATTCTTGGGGGCTTCAAATATCTGGGACACCCACTCTGCAGGAGGTATAAACATCAATCAAAACTTGTCAGAAAGCCTGGAGGTGGCAGCCCTGTGTCAGACTACTGAGGCTTTAAACAGGCATCCACATTACAGACTTGTAGAATATTCTACCAAAATATGTTTCCTTGTCATGCTGACATAAACTGTCACATACAGAGTGCCAGGACTATATTAAACTTTGAAAACTGCAAACTCCTCCTAAATACACCAAGAAAAATAGACTAGAATGGTTTCTGAATAGGTTAATTTTATTAAATTTGGAAGGTGATCTTTGGCCTCAGTTGCTGTTTGCCCTAGCAATGCACAAGAAACACTTCAGTTAGCATTTTATTTGTATTCAAATCACCTTGCCAGCCTTCATCTGTGCCTCAATTGCCTCTGCCTCTTTCACTTTGCCTATAGACCGGTAATATTCTGCCCACTGAGCGCTGTAATCTGGTTGCCCATTTTGTGTTGCAGCACCTGGCTGTGGACCTGCCTGTTGGGGTGCAGGCTGTGCAGCTTGCTGAGGCTGCAGTCCCTACAACACACACAAGCCAAACTACAGTGAAACCTCTATCCATCTTTCCCCGATCTATCGTTTTCCCGGATGCGTCTGTTTTGTTCGGTCCCTGATATGTCCCATATAAAATAGTGTTACATTTTCTCCCTTCTATCGTTCCTCGAACTGAGGTCTTATCGCATCAATCGTTCAAAAATCTTAGTCCTGGCCCACAACTTTCCCGCATTGATCGTTTCTGAGAAATTATAACTAAATTTACGCAATGTTTTTAGAATTTAAAATGATCGCTTTAGAGATAAATTAATATCAAAAGACGCACAGCAAGCTTGCCACATGCACAACCAACACCATCGATGAGTCGTGTGACGATCACAAAAAGGTTCGGGAACGGTGAGGAGGGGGGAAAACGACGAATACAAGCCCAAAGCTGTGTCAAGTTTTGCCGAAGCACATGATGCACTGGTCCGCACAATATTTTTGAAGGTGATGAGGAAAACGTTCTGAACATGGAAAGGGCTCTGTTTCGCCTAAAACGTAAAGTTATCCATTAAAGATCGCAATTGAAGCATAACATTATTATATACAAATCTTCACACATAACAGGTAACTTCCCATCACCCTGTAAACCCTGACAAGTGAGGCATTAGAGATGTTTAATGTTACCTTTCTGATCCCCACCACATTAGCAAGGGATCCACTTCAGAGGCAAAACCACCCACCGGGTCAGAATCCAATTGAGGGGGACAACCCCAGGACAGCAGAGGATCTACCTTAAGGCTACCACTACCAATAGCTTCAGTTAACTACAGTTAAGTCTACAGTTGAATACAGCCTATAACAATAATTATTTAAAGTGCAGTTAACTTAATATGTTTTGGAAAATAATGATGTAATAATGAACGCATCAGTAACAACCTCATTCAAAAATGAAACTGCCAGTGATCTAGTAGTTTTGAATGTAGTTAATATGAACACTTAAAAGAAATAAATTTACTTAAAGAGCTATTTTCCTGAAAATACATATAAATTCTGATAACTGACCTTTCAGTTTTTATTTCATTTTATAATAAAAAATTGCTGACAGTAAATTTTAAAGAATGCAAAATTTTTGAAATTAAACAGCTGCAGTAACACATTTAAATGTCAAAGATTTTTAAAAACCAGCAATGGCAAGTACAACCTGGAAATACATCATACAAGTGGTTTACTGTCTGTGCTTAACTATATATCACAAGTGTTGATTCAAGTAGAGCTGGCATGGTTTGAAGTAGCCTCCAAAGCTGCTCCCTTCTTGGCATAATGCCATATTTCAACACAATATATGTTTAAATCTCCATTCAAAATTCCTCAGCAAAAAAATGAATCTTGATGCTACTAACGACAAAAACCTTACATGCTGGGAATTAACACACACACACACACATATATATATATATATATATATATACACACACACACACACATGCACAAAATTTACCACCAGACATATTTTCAGCAATCAGTTTAGTTTTTATCATCCTTTCACAGTTTTACCACTTCTTTATAATGCCTATAGTAGACTACATGCATCAATAAGCACTTTCCAATAACATTCATAAACTCCTGTTCTCTACAATTCCTCAAGTAACCTGTCACACTGTACCTTGCTAGCCTTAGCTTGCTGTTCTATCATCTCTGCTTCTCTGTGCATCCCAAGTGAACGATAATACTCTGCCCATTGAATGCTATAATCCGGCTGTCCTGTTGCAGGGTTTACCTGGACTTGAGCACCAGCATCTGTGGGAGAAATATTTTGTGGTAATTTGGAAGACTTTGACTACACATACAAGCACCTAATAAGGAAAGGACAGCACAATCAGCAACACAGTTAACAAAACTTCCCATATCAGTGTGGTCCAGCTAGCAGCCCATGGGCAACATCTGGCCTAAGACCTCACAATGAGGACCACAAAATTATTTGTTGATGAGTCATCAGTTACAAGCTCATTTAGTTTTAATCCAAAATATTTTTAAAAAAATCAATAGTTCTTATCTCAGCTGCTGTTGCTTTACATACAAGTGCCACATATGCTACTGACTTCACAACCACACCAAATAGACTGGTACTGGTGATACTGGCCACACTTACTTGGATCATTAGGATGTTGCTGGTTTTGCCACGGTTGGTAACCAGCACCCCAGCCCTGAGGAGCAAAATGCTGTGGTGGACCTTGCCTGTAATGCAAAGATTTCAGTAACTACAATTTTAAGTGAAGGGAATATATTTCAAATACAAGGCAACAACGCTGTCAACATCTGAATGAAAGATATATTTCTTCTATTAAAACACTTGTACTACAGTCTTCTGAACAAAACTTGCAAGTTTGTGGTTATTGGCAAGGAAAATTTTAAGCCCAATAACATGTAATTATAATGCCTAAACTTGAACAATTTTCTCATTAAATTCAAATAAATATAACAAAAGCTCTGTACAAGCATGTACACTAAAGGCCTGTGACTGGTTGGTTCATCGTGCCAATAATATATGTTGCAAAAAGGGATTTCTGGCATATAATGACAAATTCAGAGCTACCCAGCTACATGTGCAGAAAAGAACACAACAGTTAAGTTCATCAAAAGATTCTTACCCTCCAGGAGGACCTTGACCTCCAATAGGATACTGTGTAGGTGGCGCTCCACCAGGTCCAGGAGGCTGCAATAAACATCAGAAATTAGTCTAATCCTGTTTGTCTGCACACAAATTCATGTGTACTCTGTAATATATGGTATGGAAGTAATACATAACATTCTCCCTTATGTGGCAACATGACAAATACCTCATAAATATATCATGCGAGTCAGTTCTTTTTGAGAATTCACGTTTTTCCAATGATCAGTTTTGTGAAGAATTGTATATTTAGCTGGGTAAAAATAAAATGAACTCATTAAATCAGCATATAGCATACTGGAAGGAACTTTTAAAATGATTTTCCTAATGAGTAAATACTGTTTTTTTTAAATATCATAATTCAATGATACAAGAAGCTGGCACTAACCTTCAAGCTTGGCAAGGGAAAAGGATGGAAGGGGAGATAACAAATGGTTACAAGACCTGCAAACATCGAGCCATGAAAGATGTGTGGAGTATTACAATAGTGAGCCTAGCCCATGTTTTCAGGTATGATTCAGGATGTAAAATGATTCCAGCAAATGACAACCGAATGTTCCAAATATACATGAATGCACATATATGAATATCAAATAGTTGTGCAATTCCTAAACATTCTTTCAAAAGTGGATACAAGCTCAACAAAACTGTTTGTCTTGGATGAATGAATCACATTTATGTCAAACTTTTGTTACATTCATTCACTGGGCTAGAATATATAGTATTTAATGCAAAGACCATAAAGTATATTACAAACCAGTCCAATTTTTTCACTTATTATCCTCTTTGCTTGTTCTATCTGGTCTGGAGATCCTCGGATTACAAATACTTTCTCCGCAGGATTTGGAGGTGGTCTCCGATCCAACTCACAGTGTGCACCAGTCTGCTGATTAATTTGTTTGATTGTCTCACCTCCTACACAATTAAAGAATATAGTAAAAACCTCATTATATCCCATTTCTTAATGGAAGAAGACAATTCTGAACACATTATTATAGAACATGTTACAATATATATGTAAATTATTCGTTTTTTCAAAAAGTACATCACTCACACAGACATTCTTACACTAGGGGCAAAAGAAGAACTCTCTCCCCTCAATTTTGATTTGTAAATACAAACGTGTTCAGTGAATGTCATTAGTATGCTACAAAAGTCAAACTGTAATGCAACATACACTATTGTACACTCTGGTAAAGTCGTTTGTTATACTTCATACCATCTATCCTGGGAGAATTTTACAGTATGAAGCTTACATATACTTCAAACAGATCCAAAAGACTTAGTTTGCACAAGTGCCATTAGCTTAGTAGTCATGGTTCTATGAGGAACAATATTTGTCTACAAGAGGAATGTCTGACATTTTATTCAACACTATTAGGACCACCTACCTACAATCAATCAATACATAAAAATTGTTAGTGGTAAAATATATAACCATGGTTTTCTGGGTTGTAGCACATGTAGTCTGGTAGAAGCTTACCAACATTTCAGAGGTCCTTGTTGCCTTCATCATCACGACAATGATGGAGGCAGCAAGGACTTCAGCAATGTTGGTAAACTTCTACCAGACTATGTGGTACTACAACTCAGTAGACATCATCTTTGGACCCGCCGCCATGACAACCTAAAATCCTACTGTGGTTATGAAGTAATGTTTTTCAACACATTTTTAATTAAAACAGTTGTCACACAAGCAGAAGACATCAACCTTAACTGTTTGCAAACAAAAACCTTTCAGAAATATTCCTAAACCGCTGGTATGCAAGATTTTGTAATTCTGCTCACTAAGTTCATCTTCATAGCGATTAATTACAAAATTATATATAATAGACCCTACGACATGGCAATATTCTTCCCACACTGTACCCACTCTAAGATAAAATTTGGAAGACCCCAACTTTCACAGTGAACAAAATTTTGTCTTTAGAAACAATGCAAGAAATTAAAGGTATATCTGATGACACCACCATTGGCACAATACAGCAATTCTGACAAGCTCAGCATGTAGCAAACTCAATTAATTATGATACAAATAAATTGCAATAATCTTTCAATATATGAACAGCAGAAAAGGGGCCAGAGATACTTTTGTCATAATCACATGAGGAAATCTTTACAAGTCATTTACAATCATCAATGACAATTCCAAAGGAATCAAACAAAACATACGGCAAAAAAGCAACAAGCAAATAAGTTTAATTTAAATGTAACAATGGTATGAGAGCTGAAATGTGAACACAATAATAATAATTCTTGGCTAGCATTAACTGTATACCTCTTCCTATAACTATGCCACACTTTGCAGCTGGGATTGTAAACGAGGCTTCTTGTTTGTCCATCTGACCACCACCTTGCTGCATACCACCCGGTCGCCTGTCCCAGCCGCCGCCGCCGCCGCCGCCACCACCACCGCCATTCCCGAACTCAGCACCACCACCACCACCTCTGTTACCCATACGGTCATATGGGGGTCCACCTGGCCCTCCTCGCCCTCTACCACGTCCAATCTCACTATCACGTCGCTGAAATTAAAAAGGCATAAAAAATCGCTACTCATCAAATAGATTTTCAGAAATGTAAAAACAGACATCATTCAACTTATTTATTAAAAATTAATCCTTTCGGTTACTATTTACTTTGCATGCCAAATGCATTTAAGCTTCATGAAGCCATCATCAGTGGCTATACATATATATTAAGTTCAATATAAGACAAAAGGATACATTAACTCACAAAAACCTTACATCATTATCAGATGACAATCACACAAATATTAAAACCTAACATTAAGTGTTTAAGATAAAAAATAAATGCATTAAGATTGTTTTCCATTGCATAATAAAAAAACTCACAAGTACACTATCGATAAGCTCTTCTATCCTTCGCCTTGCTTGATCAACTTGACTGGGCTTCCCGGTGAGCAGACATCTTCTCTCGCCAGGACCATCATCACGTCCTTGTTGAAACTGGACACGAGCACCAGTCTCATTCTGTATCTTCTTTATCATATCACCACCTTTGCCAATAACAACACCAACAGCAGCTCTTGGAACAGCCACCTTAATAGAAAATTCAAATCATGTAACACCTATGACCCTAACCCGAATTATCATCTGCATGAACAATATATGCAATTCAACAAAACCTACTGAAAGCAGCTTAGACGACACATCTCTACATAAAATCAATATGAAAACACTGCCTTCTTACATTGCTAACAAAAATGTGATCTAATTTTTTCTCCCCTACATACTGCTCAAAAAAGACAAAAACTTAATGAAACCATACCTTGGAAACTGCATGTTTTGTCTTGAACACTAACAAACTTACACAGCACTCAGGTACATATTCATGCTACATTCCTAATACAAACACAAACTTTTATTTATTCATTACATGTAACTTTT